CGCAGATTTTGTGTAGGGCTGCTAAACAAGGCATAGCTGCTCCTTATGTTGTTCTAAGCTCAATGCAGGTCTTTGCTGCTATATCTGATTATGATCACAGTCATCCAGTCGGTCGGTAAATGATCATGACTTGGACAACTGATGGATGCATGGCGTTTAATTGAACTGCGCCTAGCGATTCGTGCTAGTATCCAAACTGCAGTAGCTTCTCGTAACCTTGGGCATGGAAATTCAAATGAAATTTTTCGTGGAGGTCAGTTTCGAACACATCTCAACAAGTACCTCAGGGTGTTGAAAAGTACTTTAAACAGATTTATTTCATGGCCGGAAGCCTAAATGTCAACATTTAAAAAAATAGTTTAGACAGGCTCATTTCTCAGCTTCAAACCTAACTGTTAATCGCTTCATTTCCAAGATCAGTGGTAAAGATTTAGCAGTTATGACACGGCTAACAGGTGGCATGAACACTGACTAATTCAAAAAGGTTTTGGCGAACAACATTGGCCACAGTCAGAGCAAACAACCGTAGCAACGGCTCTTGATGGTTTATATAACTAACGAATATTTATCATTCACATGAGGAAGGAGGCGTCTTATTTTGGTTGTGACACAACGGACCTCGCTACCTATGCCAATTAAAAGTTAATCGCTTAAATACTAGTCGATTACTGATCACTGATTAAGGTTATTAAGCTCCTGTTTACAGGAATCTGACCTGGGTTTGGTTACCTGTTGTAATTGCCTGTTAGTACTTTTCAGGCTGTCACAATTTCATTTGGCGCTGCAAACTACGGGGCATTTTGATTAATAACCATGAGGCCCCGTCAGATTGTTTTCAGGTATGTTTGAGTATGGACCAGGAGATGAAAAGTTATAAATGCTTCACACTCTCAAGATCACTAAAGATTTAGTTTTAGAGTTCCGCATGTGCATGCGTGCGAGGAAAAATTCAGATACATTATCTGTACTCTTATGTTCCACTTCTCTCGGTTCGTCTATTTATTGCAGACCTTCACTAAACACTGGCGACAATATCACATACTGGACGAAATCGTTAAACTCCCTCGCTTATTCGGGACGCCGCAATGCAGGTGTTCACACGTGATCCTGACGTGAAAACAGAATTTGAGTCAAGCAACGACGGTTAAATCTTGAATTCCAGAAACTGGAAAAAACACGGTCTAAAAGGGACTGGAACATGATGTATATCCAGCGAACATCATCGCCAGTGGTGACAAATAAAAGCGTACCATGAGTCTCTTATATGCAAATCCCAAACGTCAGAAAAGATGGGCGGACCGTTTCGCGGAGTTCATTAATCCACCCAATCCTGCGGTAAAGCTCCAACTGGAAGAGAGGATTGGTAAAGATCGAGGTATTGACTGCACCCCAGTAATTATCGAAGAAATTCGAGATTTGACACGAACCCTCTGAATCTTTGAGTCATGCAAAAACGACGGGATTGGAGCGCAATTATTGAACTGTATGAGGAAATGCTTCTCAACTGAACTAATTTAGTTTTCGAGAGCATCTGCCAAACACAGGAGATCCACGAAGACTGAAAGAAGTCTGCTGCTGTCCGGATCTTCATGCCGGCCAGAAGTCACACCGATTGCACCAACTATCGCAGAATCACCCTTCTGTCGCGCTAGAGAATGTGTTCGTCCTGATCATCCTTATGCGACTGAGGGATTCCATCCGTCATTACGAAGCGGATATTGGAGTGGGAACTCGTTCAGAGAAGCAAGTTCGTGTTGAAGTGTGTGTTTCAGCAAGGCCGATGCTTCGCACTTCCTTGGTGTGACGTTGAGGGACGTCGATTCAGTTCGTGGCCAAAAATTGCGGCGTATTATTCGACACTACGGAGTTCCACAGGCGATGGTAAACTCAAAACAAATCTGCGCCTGGCGGCAAGCCGCCCTACTGAATTGGATGATTACTGTCAGATTAAATCAAAATAAAGTGTGAAACGGGCGACTGGCTCTCATTTTTCATTTTACATCTGATGGACCATATAGTGTGGAAGACCCCCATTACAATAGCCATGAACTCAAGTCACTTAATGGAATTTCTCACGGACCTTAAACACGCAATAACATCATGGCTTGCTCGTAATCGACTGCGTAGGTTGAATATTACATGTGCAAATTATGAGAGCGACTGCCTGGAACGGGAGTCCAAGGTTATTATACAATGGTACGATAGAAGAGGTGAACCATTTCAAATGCCTCGGAGTTGTGTTGGCGAACAAGGCGACATTGATCTTGACATGACCGGGACTTTGGACTGCCATAAGTGAATTTTGGAAAGCTTTATGGCAAATCGAAAAATGAAATTATAAGAACGGGAACAGAGGTCACCATTGCGAAAGCTACCGGATTCGAGGTGTTCTTGTACAGTCGAGAGACGCCTGCTGCCCTGAAGCGTCATAAATCTCGTCTCTTCAGCTTCTAGCAACACCGTCTGCAAAACATCCTTCAAATGCGATGGCATCATTGGATCACGAACGAGCAGGTGCTGACGACCACTGATCTGAGAAAATTATCAGACGAACGTAGAGACACGTGTTTATCAAGGTTGAATAAAACTATCTAACATGAGAGTGGAAATGTTTCCACCGCGTTACTAACCATAATAGCCTTAGATGTGTGGAGGTCAATAGAAAATATGGAAACATCAGGTTGAGACATACCTAATTGCGTATAAAATTATGACGTTGCCAAATGGCAATCTGAAATGCCTTTTCTAATCGTCAGACGTCGTAATTCAGGAAAACTTTGCTGTTCAAGGTCTATTCACCGCAGATGACGATGAGAAACAGTATAAACATTATTTGGTACATCTGAGGGAGAATTTCTCCAGCACAGATCTTGCGCCTTATTCAATCCTTGCACCAGAAGCTTTGCCACGTCTCTTTTTACCTGACTAGTGATAATCGAGTCACGATTGAGTTGCGCGTTTGATTGCGTGTCTGCGCAGATTGTAAGTTTCTCGTCAAGTCAGGAAAATGCACAGGTCAGACAGTGGCATCACGCGGTTGAATGACGACAACAAGAACTCTGATACCTCGTATGATATCAAGTTACAATGAAGACACACAAGTGGAAAAAATATCATCCTGAAGCAAAGCCATGTTTATCGGTCATCGTGGCATGGATCCGTACTTGCGTTCAATTCTTGTCACACATCGGTTAGTTGACATTTCATTTAAAAGCCACGTTTGTTTGTTATTATTTTTTAAGTACGGTTTATAATTTAAGCTGGTGTTTGATGTGCCAAGGCGAAGTGCAGCCATAAGGCATATGCACTGACAGCATGACTGTGTCTGTTGCATGCTGTGGACGTACATCACATCGTGCGCACCCGATTGTTCGCTGATCAACCACCGGTCACCCCCTCTCCGCGCCTGTTACGTCCACTCCACGATGCTTCGATTCTACCAGCCAAAAAGGCAGGTAGCATATAGTTGACTGTGACACCACGGACAACATGGTAGTTTGGCGTGTTATACTAGAAAAGGCGAAGAGGTATTCCCATGCCGTCGTCTAAGAGAGCCTCTAATGGCTGCGACTGTTACTAGCCCAGCCGAAAAATGACTCTCCAGTGTGATGATCAGCACAAGCCTTAAGCCTTGAGGAATCAGGAACAAAGAAAAATTTTATGCAGCGGTAGGGTTTAATGTCGTACATCTAAAGTGCCGAGGCAGACTGTTATCACTGTTATCCATTGGGCTTTCACTGCACGAAGCATCGGAAAGTCATTTTGCATTACGATCTTCTAATGAGGGCATAGTGAAAGGCAACGCCATATGTACCCAAATTATGATATGATCACATGTCCGAAAATTCAGTTATGTGATCACATGGTGGCATGCAACTAGATAGCTAGCCAAACAGTTAGTCCGAGAAACTTTGTTTCTGTGCTGCACTTCGGTCGCCTTCAGCCCAGGAGGTGCGAGGCCAGTTCTGATGTCCGCTGGGTTTATCCCTGCAACCTACGCATCACAGTTAATCTCATATTAAGCGAGAAGTCGCTAGAAAGTCAACGGCGGTGTTTTCTACTCGGTACAAGTTCAACGGTTTCGCCTGTACCGTCGAGTAGACTATCTTCCGTTTGAGGGCCATCAGCCCGGTAACTAAGTCATGTTTGAATGACAGCACAGCATGACATGTCGAGTCATAAGCTGGACAGTTAATTGCTATTAATTGCAACAGGTTGTATTGGAACTCAACGGAGGCATTGCCTGACGAGGGAAACTAGCGAACGTTTCATACAGTCCAATAGGTCTGGCTCAAGCTCCGGAGATGCCAAATTCGATTTTGCTCGAGGGCAATCTTTCTCTTATTCATGAATTCCCTTCAGCAAGGAATTTTTCACACGCTGCTTTAAACCTAGGTTGTTCAGTCGGTAGGACGTCGAACTCAGAACCGATAGGTCTCGAACTGAAGCAAGTCGTGGTCTTTGCCCTTCTTCTTCCACTCGGTGGAGAGGAAACACGAGTCTACAACCTGCGCTCGCTACATCGCTGTATACTCTGTCTTTGCCTCTTAAAATATTCCTGGCTAATGGCACAGAAAAGGAGATCAGCACAGTACCATGATCTTCATGAAAGAATGGGCGATAAAATGGTCCGATCATGAAAGTGAAGGAATACCGATATTCCAACGGCGACAAACTCTCCCTTCTTTTCCTGCCATATAGTGAATTATTTGACCTAAAGGGATGAGTCCGAGCACCAGGTGTCACGGTTACCTGGACCGCTAGCCATTCAGGTCTGAGTGTCGCTGGCACCACCGGATGCCGTACAATTTTTACTTAGGCAAAATGACCGATATAGCGAACAACGCCAAAAGCAAAGTGAGGAAAACAACACGCCACGTCATCGTTTTCGGCGGCGGCGGCAAAGAAACTCAGTCGAACAAACGAACGTCCAGGCCGGCATTCGTCCGTCAACTGAGCAGC